TGCCGCTGAGCATGAGGATCTGACTTTGGATTTCCCATCCCTCCATAAAAAAACAGGCATGGCCTTGTGTCTCTGTAATCCAGTGCCAGGAGTTGGATTCCTGAAAGTAGCTGGTTATAGCCTAACCAGAACCATAAGCTGCAGGCTCAGTGAGCAGCCCTGTTTGTGAAGGTCAATTGGAAACATCCCCATAGCAGCCTCTGGCCTCAAGTGCCTACACTGGCAAGCATACCCACAAGTGCACACACATACCATATAGCACAGGTACAAAAAGAATTGCCATGGGGCTGAGGATGTCGCTCAGTGGTAGAGGATAGACTGGAAAGCTGTTTCATCCCAGCACTGAAGGAGGAAAGTCCTTTCTGGTGGGCTCTTTTTAATCCCAATGATAGGGAGGCAGGAGCATTTTGAAAACCAGGCATTTGGGGATACATAGCCTTCTAATCTTTCCAGGAAGGGAAGTTTCCCTTCCCTGTGTTTATTCAGCCTAAGGGAATACTATCTTCTGCATTCAAGCCTCTGTCCCCTCAACTCATGCCTGTCCCCAGTCAGGACAGGACTAACCAGCCAGAAAGGCTTTGCCCGGCTTACCAGCTGGGGGCTGCAAAGATGCAGAATCGTGCCCTGCAGTCAGCCTCTCCTCCCAGGGGCATGCACTGCTCTAGGGCTGCTGGGGGAGGGAAGGCGGGGGTTGGGTTGGGGGAGGTACAACCAGAGGGAAGCAGGAGCCAAGCCAGTAAGCAGAGCATGAAGACTGACAGGCAAGAAGGGGATGGAAGGGAAGTGAACTAGCTCCAGGCTCAGGCAATGAGCTTAGGCAAGCAGGAGAGGAAGCCTAGAACACCGTGACGGGTCACACAGGATGGTGACAGAGCTAAAGGTCTGGAGGTTCTCATTTGGAGACCAGGCCTCCTCTCCGTCTACAGGTACCCTCCGCACACTCAGATGGGCGGGATTGTCAGCCTGGCCAAAGCGGAGCAGCCTGAGAGTGTCTCATAATCGGTGAGAGATTTCCAGTCATGAAAAGAACCACATCCTGGACCACAAGAATGAATATCAGATTGAGCCAGTGTGGAGCGGAGTTGGAGATAATAAAAGAGCTGTCATTTTAGGGACGGGATCTCGTGATGCAGATCTGCCTAGCCTGGAACTCAATATGTACACCAGGCTGGCCTCAGACTCAGAGATTTCACCTGCTTCTGCTTCTTGAGTGCTAGGATTAAAGGAACACACCACAACACCTAGGAAAAGATTTAAAAATAAAATATTTATATGTATGTGGCTGTAGGTATGTACAAATGCATTCGAGTGTCCGGAGAAGCCAGAGGGGATGCTGGATACTGCAGCTATAGGCAATTGGGATTGGGTCACCAGTGCTATGGAACTCGGTCCCCTGTAAGAACACTCTCAACTGCGGAGTCATCTCTCTGGCTCCAAAGCCTCCCCCTACCCCCTAGTTTTTTGAGATAGGGCTTCTCTTTGTGTAGCCCTAGCTGTCCTGGAACACTCTCTGTAGACCAGGCTGCCCTCCAGGCCAACTCAGAGACCTCCCTGCCTTTGCCTCTTGAGTGCTGGGATTAAAGACTTGCCCCACCACTGTCTGGTGCCCAAAGCCCTTTTTATTAAACATAGCAAATATAGATTTGTTAAGGAAAATTTTAAAAGCATTCCTAAAAGTAGGAGAGGCTCTGAAAAGAGGAATAGACAGCTTTGTTTGTTTGTTTCCTTGCTTATTTATTGAGACGGGTTCTCATTAGTTAGCTCTGATAAGCCTAGTGCTTACTATGTAGACAAGGCTGAATTCAAACTCAAAGGATATCAGCCTGCCTCTGCCTCTCAACTGCTAGAATTAAAGATATTTACTACCATGCCTAGTTCTAGCTTTTTTGTTTTGTTTTGTTTTGTTTTTTTTTTGTTTTTGAGACAGGGTTTCTCTGTGTAGCCCTGGCAGTCCTGGAACTCACTCTATAGACCAGGCTGGCCTCGAACTCAGAAATCCACCTGCCTCTGCCTCCTAAGTGCTGGGATTAAAGGCATGCGTCACCACTACCTGGTTAGTCCTAGCATTTTTAAATCTTTCTTCTTTTTTTCTTTTCTTTTGTTTTCTTTCCTTTTTTTTTTTCCTTTTTTCTTTTTTTTTGTTAAGGTCTCTTGTATCCCAGGCTGGTCTTGAACTCAACTGAGAATGACTTTGAACTTCTGATCCTTCTGCTTCTATCTTTTTTTTCTTTTTCTCTGAGACAGGGTTTCTCTCTGTAGCCCTGGCTGTCCTGGAACTCACTCTGTAGACCAGGCTGGCCTCGAACTCAGAGATCCGCCTGCCTCTGCCTCCCAAGTGCTGGGATGCTTCTACCTTTTGAGTAACAGTATTACTGGCTTGTGCCACCATGCCCAGTTTATGCAAGGTTAGGGATGGAAGCTAAGGCTTTGTGCATACTAGGTAAAGGCTACCCACTGAGCTAAAGCCAGCCCTTCTTATGCAGATCTTAAGCACTGGGTTAATAGGGGGAAAAGATCCTGAGGGAAGTATAAGGTACGGTGTGGATCAGGTGAGTGTAGGCTTCTCAAGGACAGTCATTCATAAATATCCTTTTCCAGAAGTGAGATTATAATTAGTTCCCGAGGTACCTTAGATGAGAATACAGTCTGATTAAATAAAAATCAGTCATTGTGGTGCATGTC